TTAAACGTTTAAGAGCAAAAAAGGCTATTTGAATTCATTTTTAAAAAAAATTTAATATATTAGCCCTAAAATTTCGGTTCGGGTTGAAGCTCTAACCCGAAAATTTTTAACGAAATTTCGGGTCGGGTTCGGGTTGGCTCATAACCCGACCTGACCCGACCCGTTCGGAGCACTAGTTGGCGGATTAGATAATAGCATAAAAATGTATAGACATGATTTGATCTCTTACTTTGAATAAAGATATCATAGTTCGAGTTAAGTACTTCTTTCAACTAATTCCCCGATAAATAAAGTTCATATAGTCTAACCCGTGATCTCAGAATTTGATCTTCGTAATCTAGAGCTTTAATCCAGGACCTTCCTTAGTCGGGTTAGAATACTTTAGTAGTGTTTGTTGTTTATGGTGGTATGATCTGTATCCGACGTCTACTAGTACGTATGTACGTACATCTACCCATCAGTACCCGTGATGATCGACCAATCAAAGTTGTGAAACTTGATCATCCAGGGCATCCTAACCATAATTTTTTTAAAATCGCCAAATCACGTGCTGATGGTGTACGGTATCATTGTGAACCTATTCATTGTTGCGCAAAAATGGACATTACTTATTACCTCATAATTGGGTAGATCATCATTACCTCATAGATACCTCATAATATATTGAATTACTTTATTACTTCATTTACTATATTTCATTGTATAATCCCATTACTTCATTTTTGTGTAAATAATTGCAATATTTTCCCATCGCTTTTCAGACCTCAATATTTAGGGTTTATGCCAGAGCATTTATAAAATAGGATCTTTCTCTCTTAAAGAGAAAATAACTTTCATATCTATCGCTTTTTTTAAATAAATAATATAATAAAAAACTGCTCTCCTTTTATAAAATCGCCTTATTTTATACTAATACCTCATAACCTAGTTGTTCACGACTTGAAGCTAAATCTGGCAACGTAGATCATGAGTCTCTCCTTAGCCGTGACATCATACAATTTATTGTACTACCGAGGACCTTCATTAACATTTAATGCTGCTTAAATTTTGTACTACCACTATGACGTATTTTGCGCCCATGGGCGTTGTTTAGGGATACAAGGTGCTAATAATTAATTTGCTGAATGTTAATCAATTTTTTTATCAAAAGTTAAATTAATTATTAGTTTGCTTCAAACTCGTGTCCCGAAATAACTAACGCCCATGGGCGTTATTTCAAGCACCACTTCTCTTGGAAAGGTAAAACTCCTAAATTGTGAATTTAAAAGAAAAAGCGAAAATACTCAAACACTGATGTTCGTCACTATATCTCCTAATACTAACGCTCTAACCCTTGCTTTCTATCTTTAAAGCAAATTCTGATATATTACAGCGCCGAAATAGGTAAATTTTGACATTGTTATCCTTTTATTGATACTGAATGAGAATCTTACATGAATGCAAAGACATGGAGTAAGCGCATGAACTAGATAAGGCAATTTTCACAGAATGCAGAACACATGCTATTATTTCGTAAAATTATTAAATAAACACAAAAATTATCAAATGTTACATTATTTCGTAATTTATTAAATGTTAAGACACTGACGTTTTTATTTCGTCACTAACTAAATGAATACGTAATGGTAAAAAATTATTTATATTCTTGGTTACGTATAAATTCGGTTGATTTTTGAGCATAATTTTTTTCTTTAAAGAAAAACAAAATGAGTTCAAAAAGCTATCCAATGAGTTCAACGAGTTATGGTTATGAAGATGAACAACAACCATACAAAAAATGGTTCAAACTTCTTTTCAATGCCTTTCATAATGACGAAACAGCAATTGAATTTATTCATGATAGTCCACCAATCGATTTTATAAAAATCATTAATACCAAAGAAGAACAACTTATTAAAATCTTATCAATTTCTTCTAATGTTGTATGGTATTGGCTCAAAAAAGATGAACCTAAAATAATTAATCGAGCAATTGAATATATTACACAGAATTATAAGCTCGATGAGAGAATTGTTTCTATAGATAAAAGTGAAAGAAAAGCGTTAGATAAAGATAAAAAAAATACCAGGGCATGGAAAATAAAGAAAGATATTATTCACAAGCTTGATGAAAATGAGACTATTTTCCCCGGATTTCAATACCTTTTCAAATATAAATGGGTTCCTTCTGACAAAAATGGTGAGAATGACCTGATCCTTACCAATGGTAAAGGAATATTCGCAGTCGTGGAAACAAAAAGAACTCGTTTTATCGATAAAGTAAAAGGTAAATTATCAAAAAATAAAGATAATAAAATTGACAAATACAGGAAAAGTTATGTCATTCAACAAGCCGGAATTTATAAGCAAAAATTTATTGATCAATACGGAGGAGCTTATGCAAACGGAGACGGACCTTCATTTGATATCATTGCAGTTATTGGAATAGCAATTGGTGAGGATTATGAAAGATGGTGTCTTAAAGCTTTTGATAATCAAGTTTGTGAAACTCTCGATAGGATACATGATAAACATAGCTCCGTAAAATCCCCCATGTATATATTGTCGGCCAATTCGTCAGAATCAAGCTTAAGCAGTAGAAATGGTACCAATGATACCAATGGTACCAGTGTTTCGCCCTAAAATATTAAAATTTGAAGCACAGCAATTGAGTTAATTAAGCATACTGTAATTATGTTATTTAAAGTATTTTTTATAAATTAGTATAATTTAGCATATTTTTATTTATCATGAAATATTTTTTATGCATTAAAAATTAATAGTGAAAATTTACATGTAAAATTAGGCTGTTTTTTTTTTTTTTGTCCGTTCAATGTATGTGAGCGAGCTATAAGTATTAATAAAGTCAATATTAACATCCATATAATTTTAAGTGAATTTTTTTGAATTATATTTCGTTAGGGATGTCTAGAGGATTTTTTTTAATATATAGCAGTGAATCTCACCTCCGGTAAATGCCAAATAAAATAAAATTTACAATTCTTAGTCCCAATTTAGTACTTGTCATTTTACATAATTCTCGCATAAAAATTCAAGAATTAATATTTTGATGATTGAATTAGGTTGAATATAAGGGCGACGTTAGAAAAAATATATTATAGAGCAATATTTTGTATGAAATTTTTTTGTTATGACGTTGAATGTAATTATACAAGTAAAATTTTTAGTTACGGACCTGTATATAAATTCAAGTTTTGAACAAAAATCTTTTCACGGACTATGTGACACAATAGTCAGAGGGCTTAGAAATTGCACAAGATAGATATGACACCCTATATAAGGAATTTCAAAAATCAGCAGAGATGAGAGCGTTAATGGAACATTAATGCTGATTATTGCTATCAAAATGTAATTAGAGTTGAAAAGAACAAGTGTAAGGCCTTCGAATATTATCAAAATTTGTTATGTTGAAGTAAGGAAAGCGCCGTTTATTACGTAATTTTAAGAGAGAGGGGGCTTTTTATTTATGTTATATCAAGTATAGTTGGTTTTGGTATTTCACACATTGAAGACACGATCATTAGCACTGAGTTGATGCTTTAACCATTTGATCTCATAAACTATTATTATAATTACCTATCACACAGAAATCTCTAAAATTCTTTGAAATATGATTTTTTTTTTTTATAATTCTATTTAAAATATAATGATTTCAAATAATAATAATATTCATCTTAATTTCTACAAACTTTCAATGAAGGTACCTTGATAATTCTCTTTTTATTTTCATTAATCCGAGTAATCTTCAAATTTCACAGACTAATAAAATTCGAAAATGGATTTAAAAATTAAAATTTGTCCGACTATTATTAAGAAATCTTTGTTTGAAAGTTTTAAAAAAATAACTAACCTCAAGGCTTTTATAGATCAGAGTCTCTATAAAAAAAAATTCAAAATTTTATTCAGATTTCTATTACAAAAAATGCTCATATTTTAAATTTTATAGAGAGCCAATTTTTTAAGTTAGTAATTAAAAATTCCCGATTTCCAGATTTCTGTGGAGTGTGTGACGTATGAAATTTTTTGATAAGTTTGGCATCATGCATCGCTCGATTCATTTTCATCAATTGCATTATAGTCTTAGTAATTTCATATTATTTATACGGTTCTTAAATTTAACTTTTGTTTTCACTGACTGAATTAATGAAATATACTTACAGTATACTAATAAATGTTCTTTACTTACTTCATAGTTAACGCGAATAAACCGAAATTAAATAAATTAAAATATCAAAATTTAAAATTTTACCTCGACATCGAAATATTTCAGAACCCGGTCAGATTTATGACACTGCACGAAAGCTGTTTTTTTAAAAAATACAGTTTATGATAAATAAGCGATTTTTGACAAAGCGAACGCTTGTTTTGAAATTTCCTGATCATGTTACGTTACACCTTATCATTGAATGGATTTTCATTCTTTCCCACTCATTGATTACACGAAGCCGATTTTCAGTATAATACCATAACTTATTGTTATATGTATCGAGTAAAATTCGGATTATCATTGGATTACTTCTCGTAGATTATATATTTCTCTTCGTTTATTTATTTCTCGTTGTTTTTATTATTCCTTGTTTTTTTTTTTTTGAAGATGTCCTATTTATCAAATTTGGTTTTCGTTTCGATCTAGTCTTCAAACATCTACAAGTACTTGACAATCAAGTAGAAGTACTTGACAGTCAAGTAGAAGTATTTGATAATCAAGTACCTGACAATCAAGTACACAATAGTCAAATAACTAGATTCGGAGAAAATTACAAACAAGAGTTGGAATATTTTGTTACTACACCACCCAATCGATAGAGTTTGTATAATTTTCTGAAATACCTGGACGACAAAGGGCTCTTAAGAGATAACGATTATGCTAACCCATTATACCCAAGATGTTTGGAGCACATCGTAGGCAAGTTAACACATAATAAGGAAATGAGAAATTGCGCTAAGAAAATATTTTTTTAATTTTTTAATTTCTAAGTACTCTAAAAAAAAAAGGTTGTTTGGTCTTTGTTTAATTTTTATTGATATTATTCAAAAAAATGTTCGGAATGGAGTCACTATAGGTATAAAAATAGGTCAAAATTAGACAAGGACCAAACAAACTTTTTTACCGGAATGGGTGTGCTATTGTAATATACCGAATTTATTTTTATTATATGATTTATTAATCTTTTATGTTTATAGTCTGACTTGCTTTCAACTTTCCAAGCATGTATTAAACGATGAAGAAAGTAGCGAATACCAATATAGAAGTTGGTTTGTAAATTTACTTTACGAAGAAATATTTCTTGATTTAAATAATATTATCCGATTAGCAACGTAAGTAATTACAGTAAAACTTCTATAAATACACGCTCTTGGGACTGAGCTTTAACAATGTGCATTTAGAGAACAATAAGAAAGGTGCATTTATAGAGGTCATGCATATATTTGGGCCAGAAGTTGAGCGTACATTTAGAGAGGGCATGCATTTATAGAAGTCATGCATATATTTGGTTGAGCGTATATTTAGATTTATAGAGGTTTCACTATATAATCAGAATATTAAGATTAGGAATAACGTAAAATTCATATTGGTAATTTGCAGAGTTGGGTCTAAGAGTCTTTTTACAATCATATTGTTAAATCTATAGACCCTAATTTAGGCCCAATCCTAATATGTATACTTTGAAACATAATTGTATTCTAATTAGGTGATACTATATGAGTATTTTCTAAAAAGCTATGTATTCTAAATTTTTTATAGAGGAGAAGTGGAAATATTGATCGAAAAGTTCAAAAAGACTCGGCTAAACACCCAGACGAACAAAGGTCTATTGGTTGGTACTACGATGGAGTGCTGAAAATTAATATAAATGGTACAGAAATACAAATGGGCTTTCTTGAAGTTATTGGTAATGCTATAATTGTAGACTATAGAAAAAAGAATGACGATCTTAATAAGGTTTTAAAAGGTAAAATTAGAGTTTTATACATACTGCATTGCCGCGAAATAATGTGCAGGGTGAAATTTTGAATTCCGGCCTAAATTAAGCTTAATTCGGGATGAACCTCGAAATAACGCCCATGATCATTATTTCGTGGTAATACAGTATACATTATATGAAATAATTTGACTCATAATTTTTTGAGCAGCAATGCGTTTAGCATTTTCTCATTTGGAAGAAATTCTACATGAAAGGGGTGAGGATTATGAAGAACTCAAGTATAAACTTGAAACATTTGGAATTATAGTCGATAGTAAGTTAAAATTTTACATATTTGAGATTATAAAAAAATTTATTATAGTTTCTAAGTGTTATTTTTTTTTAGGGAGGCATTTTGTTTTTTATGCAATGGAATATTTCGATGGGGCGTATCTTCTTGATGAAATTTATCCATTTACACTACCGGATACACCAACCCAACTATATTTATTAAAAGATATCATAACCATTTTATTAAATTTTAGAGTAAGTATATTTTTAAATTGCAGTTCTTTTATTACACATGATAATATATACTAATGGTTTTTTGCAAATAGGCCGCGTTGAACGCTTACATAAAGAAATAATCCATTGTTAAGCAGTTGAAGCTTCTCCTTTTATTTTAAAAACTCGTAGATAAATTTTAATGCGTTAATTTTTCTTAGATATTTTCTTAGACAGCTTAGTTTTTTTTACGTTGTAATACCTTCGAAGTTGAAGAATAGATATTGTTTTTCATGCATAGTTATGACTAAAATTTACAGTTAATTTGCTAAAAGTTTTCAATAAACATCTATTTACTTTTTTATCATAACTATCCATTTTTAAAATCATTTTTGAAAAGGAGCTATTAGTAAATAAAACCTTATGCTCAAAAAGACGAAACCCTAGTGCTCCCGCTAAACACAAAAAAAGGAAAAAAAAAACACATAAAAGAAACAAATGTTATTTCATTTAATTATCTTTCATAATTTATTCAGAGATCAGTATCTGAAATTGCACGTATACCAGCAAAAATAAACCAATTCATTTTTTTCTGGACAACGCTAGAGTTGTTATAGACCGGTTGAATATCCTTGTCAAAAAGCCGCCATAGTACTCATGGAATAACACAAATAATGAATTAAAACATACTGGCACAAATAAATTTGTAAGATCACAAAGTAAACACCAGGCGATTTCTCACCAGAACTGATATGTAGTGTACTAGTATAATCAATATAGAATCATTTCTAACTCCCTTTAAACAATTCAAGCGCCGATTATACAATAAAATTTTTGTAATTTTTATAAGTTTCTGTTTTTTATTATTTATTTTTTTATACACAATCTTTAATGATTTTTAACAAGATTTTAATTGGCGAAAGACGAAACTAGGTTTCACGTTTCGTCTAACAACTATGGCTTTGCGTATCGGAATTTTGTAGATTTGTCTAAGAATTTATGATTCATCTAAGTATTCTATCAAAATATTCTTGATTTAAATTGCTTCAGGATGGAAAGGCATTTTCTTTCTACATCTATAAAAAGTTTAAATATTAAACCTTCTAACATCTGTTAGCATGAATTAAATCTAAAATAATTAACTCGATTGAAAATCACAGCTGAATTATTGAATATCAGGTACATTCCGGGAGACGAGTTTTCCTAATATGACCCAACTAGAGTTGTTGGTGAAACTAAATTGAGCTGGTGAAACTGGTGACTATCTACAATCTGATTGGCTATTGTAGTAAACAGTCAATCAGATTTTAAATAGTCACCAGTTTCACCAGCTCAATTTAGTTTCACCAACAACTCTAGACCCAGCAGTCTGTCATATCGGCAACATAACAGCAAAATATTGTGATATCCAATTCTTAGGCCAAGGTGCTAAGACTAATCCTAGCTATTAAAAAAAAATACTTCCAAAATTTTGAAAATTTCATATCAAAATGTATCAACTTTAAAAACTAACCTCATACTGCATTTCATATTGCTCAAAAAAAACTATGCGGAATAGGTTCACTTCCACAACTTAGTATACTAAATTTTATCTTATCGACCGCCTCTAGCATCAAAAAGCATGATTAAATACGTCTTAATAGTGTTAGGATGCAGTATCATTCAAATATAAGATTCTTAACCTTATACAGCATCAACTTTGCCTTCTGGCAAAATATCGAATGTTTTTATACTTACAAACTAAAATAACATTAATGAATTAATAAAATATTTTAATAAAAATAAAATTTGAAAAGATATAAGCTGGATCTAAATCGATGTTACTTTGATATAATTACATATACATAAAATCACGCATTATATCAATATCAATTTACTAACGGTCCCAAAGGTCCAAGAAATATTTTTAATAAAATTTGGAAAATTTTGAAACTTCTAGCGATGATTCCTCAATAACTACTTGATTTAATTCAGTAGAAAAAATCATTTTAATTCCTAAAAAAAAAGTTCATTAAATTTAGTCTAGTAGTTGTCGAGAAATCATCGCGAAAAGTTTAAAAACAAAACTCTAAAATTTGCTTCCTTTGAAATTTAAACGATGATTTCTCGACAACCAACTATCCAAATTGGATGAATTTTTTTTATTTTAATTCTGTAGATTCATAGAACTAAATTAAAAAATTTTGATCGAATTTGAATAGCAGATTGTCGAGAAATATTCATTAAGAGCTAAAAAAAAGTTTGGCCGCAGCTTCTTTTTAAAGACATCAAATCTTTGAACAAAGATCACTCAGCACTTACGTACCTAGTCAAAATCGATCTAATTTTTTTATTTAATTCTATGAGCATATAAAATTAAATAAAAAAAAATTGATTGTATTTGACCAGGTAAGTGCCTATAAAAAAAAACTGCGGCCAAATTTTTTTTAGTTTTTACAGCTGTTCTCATAAATTCTGGGACAACTGATAAAAATTTGGCCGAAATTAATTCTTCCGAATTCGATAAGCTTTTGATGGGTACATAAGATATATTTTGGTGTTACAATATAGGTCGTTACACAATATGTATATATTATAAAATAGCGAAAAGTTGAATTTCATGACTAATTTTCGTATCATAGAAATTGTTGGAATGAATATAAAAATACAAATAATCACTGGAATTATGATCTTTATTAGCCTTTATTTATTAACCCATACGCTAAAGTTATAAGGTGTTAACTCTATCACTGATACTTTCAAAACGTATTCGTTTGCAAATAGTTCAAGTGGCTCTAATAAATCCATTATAGATGAACAACCTAATGATTCCTTGTTTGTTAAATCTATTGTTTCAATAGGTTCACTTAATTCATACTGGTTTTCTTTTTGTACTATAAAATTTTTTATTAAATATAAGCTATATCGACATTGCAAATAAGAATAACGATACAAAAATATAAAAAATTTACCTAAAAGCTGTTGTACATTCTCGACAAATATTAACTAGGAAAATGCATAGCATTATGAGTCCAGAGCTATCATATGATGGTCATCTCATTGCACAAACGCGTGAATGTGCATACTTTTGCTACACAAAATTACAAATATGAACACGCGTGCGGACAGACATGAATTTTCAAATTTATGTTTTTGATGCAATAGCTTAAATGACAATAAAAGGTGAATCAAAAATGTAGCTATTAATGCATCAAAAACGTAACTTTTGTATCACCATGCGTAATCATTAAAAGTCCTCCGCTACGCTCCGGACAATAAAGCTTGATTTTTTGTAATCTCAGCTTGAGTTGCATTTCTTCTGAGCCAATTAACAAAACCTTGATCGTATTTGACCTTCTTTTTATTAGTGCCAGATCGTGTAATATGTTATTAAGAAAGTTTAGCTTATGACTAGAACTTCTTTTGCGAATCTGTCAGTTGACAAGAACAATCATTGCCGTAGGCTTTCGTACAGACTAAGCATTGGACAAACATTAAGACGAAAGCTTAATAAAGATGGTACATTTTTTACACTATCGTGTTAGAATACAAATAGTACATGTGATGCAGAAATTTCTTTTTATACTGTATCGAATTCGGCAGAATTAATTTCGGCCATATTTTTATCAGTTGTCCCAGAATTTATGAGAACAGCTGTAATGTATATTTCTCGACAACCAGCTATCCAAATCCGATAAAATTTCTTTTATTTTAATTCTATGACTCCTAGAATTAAAATAATTTTTTTTAAATCAAATTCGGATAGTTAGTTGTCGAGAAAAAAATGCAAGAAAAAAAAGTGATGCAACAAAATTTTTATTTAAACTTTAAATGAAGATTCTCGACAACCAAGTATCCGATTTTTTTTATTTTAATTCTGTGGGTGCATAGAATTGAAATTAAAAAATTTATCGAATTTGAATGGCTGGTTGTCGAGAAATATTCATTGAAAGCTATTAAAAAGTTGTTTTTTTATAGGCGAAACGAAGATTACTCGGCATTTACCTGGTCAAATTCGACCAAATTTTTTTATTTTAATTCTATAGGCTCATAGAATTAATATAAAAAAAATTAATCAAATTTGACTAGGCAAGTGCTGAGTAATCTTCGTTCACAGTTTTGATGTCTTGAAAAAGAAGCTGGGCCAAACTTTTTTTTAGCTTTTAATGAATATTTCTCGACAACCATCCATTGAAAATTCGATTAAATTTTTTTATTTTAATTCTATGCGCATACAGAATTAAAATAAAAAAAATCATCAAATTCAGATACTTGGTTGTCGAGAAAAAAATCAATGATGCAACAAAATTTTTATTTAAAATTTAAATGAAGATTTCTCGACAACAAAGTATCCGAATTTGATGATTTTTTTTTTATTTAATACTGTGTGCATAGAATTAAAATAAAAAATTGATCAAATTTGATGTTGAGAAATATTCATTAAAAGCTAAAGAAAAGTTTAGCCGCAGTAAACTTTGAACGAAGATTACTCTCCACTTACCTGGTCAAATTCGACCAAATTTTTTTTAATTTTAATTCTACATGCTCATAGAATTAAAATAAAAAATTTTGATCGAATCTTATTAGGCAAGTGCCGAGTAATCTTCGTTCAAAGTTTTGATGTCTTTAAAAAAGAAGCTGTGGCCAAACATTTTTTTTAGCTCTTAATGAATATTTCTCGACAATCTGCTATTCAAATTCGATCAAAATTCTTTTACTTTAGTTCTATGAATCCACAGAATTAAAATTAAAAAAATTCGGATACTTTCGGCCGATCCGGTTAAGTTATATATTTCAGGTATAATAATAATAATAATAAGATTCAGTAACAGATATATCAAATACGTACGTAATTTAATAAGATCAGGTGACTAATATATATTACAATAAGACTAAATATTGACATGCATACTTGTCGCACTATTCTTTGGCACAATCCATTTTTACTTAAACGAAGCCTTTATTCATTTCTAATTATTATTCGACAAAATTCATTTTTAAAAAATTGTATAAAATTTCAATTCCTATTCTTTGGCAAATGCTAATTATTTTTCGACGAAATTTGGTTTTAAAAAATTGTTTAAAATTTCATTTCCTATTATCCATTTTCATTCAAACGAAACCTTTATTAATTTCTATTATTTTTCGACGAAATTAGTTTTAA